GAATTAAACAAAGAGAAATTTAAATTACTCAGATATGGAAAAACTGAGGAAATTAAATCTTCATAGGTACAAAACAAATTCGGGCCCACAAAATAGAGCAAACACCAACGTCAAAGACCTGGGATGATTATGCGGGGATCTCAACTTAAAGGCCCCATAACATTGTTCAATGCATTGCTAGAAAAATACAGGATGGATAATGAAACCCTTTAAAAATAGGGAGGCCAAGCCCATGATACTCTTCAGGCACGTTCTATCTAGGCTGGAATATTGCTGCACTCTAAAAGCACCCTTTTAAGGCAGTGAAATTGCCGCCCAGAAAAGTACAGAGAATTTACGGCGCGCATAAGGAGAAAAACACCTCAAATTTTTGGGAGCGCTTGAGGTTTTAAAACCCGTATTCCTGGAACGCAGGGGGGGAGAATACCCTGATTTTATACACCTGGAAAAACCCCAGGGGACTGTCGAACTTGCACACGAAAATCACTCACACGAAAGCAAAAGACTTGGGAGGAAAGCCCACCCCCCCCCAAAGAAAAAACAGGGGGTCACTAGCAAAGTTAAGAGACCAAAAATAAGTGTCAGGGCCGAGACTGTTCAACTGCCTCCACACACATAAGGGGGATTCCAACGACCCCTGGCAGTCTTCAAGCTGGCACTGGCAAGCACAAAGTCAGTTCCCCCGTCAGCCCGGGCCCCGTGGTCGTACGTTAGTTTTTTCTGCAGCCAGCAGCAACAGCCCGGTTGTCGGGCTGACCACCCGGAGGCCTGGTCACAGACGGGCCCCGGGGGGGTTGACCCCCGAAACTCTCTCCAGGTAAAAACCCCGGTAATTAAATACTTTAAAAAACGTGGCCCCCCTTTTTCATGTTTAAAACCATTCCAGAGAGATCGGCAAAAATGGAAACCACTCTCCCCATAAGAAATAATGTAAATCCAATTAATCCATTTCAGACAACCAGAAGTATCAACAAAAATTTTTCTTTTCACTTAAATATTGATTTACATGTAGAAAAGAATGACAAATAAATATATAGTGGACCCTCGACGAACGATTTTAATCCGTTCCAGAGAGCTTGTCCTTAGCCGAATTTATCGTTAACCAAATTAATTTTCCCCATAAGAAATAATGGAAATCCAATTAATCTGTTCCAGATGCACAAAAGTATGAAAATTTTTTTTCACGTGAAATATACATTTTCCTACACAGAAAACAATGATACATACACAATAAATACATGAAGAATAAATGACACTTACCTTTATTGAAGATTTATTGATGAGTGATGAGATGGGAGGCGGGGAGATGATGGTGTATTATTGTTTGGAAGGGGAATCCCCTTCCATATGTATTTTAGGTAGCAAGTCCTTTTCCGGGGTTACTTCCCTTCTTTTTTTAATGCCACTGGGAACAACTTGACAGTCACTGGACCTCTGTCGCATCAAAAATCTGTCCATAGAGTTCTGTATCTGGCGTTCCTTTAAGATTTTCCTAAAATGGGCCACAACACTGTCATTGTAAAAGTTACCAGCATGGCTTGCAATAGCTGTGTCAGGGTGATGTTCTTCCATAAAGGCTTGCACCTTTGTCCACATTGTGTAAATGTCCTTAATTGTTGAAGAAGGCAACTTCCTCCATCTCTCTCTCCCTTCCTCTGAAGCAATTTCCTCAGTTGTAGTCTCTTGCTGTTGCAGATGCTCTTGCAGCTTATCAGTGGTTAGTTCTTCATCATCGTCCTCCATCAACTCTTCCACATCCTCTCCACTAACCTCCAACCCCATGGACTTCCCCAATGACACAACAGATACCACAAGTGGTATAGGCTCCTCAGGGTTAGCCCCAAACCCTTCAAAATCGCTCTCTTGTACACATTGTCACCACAATTTCCTCCAAGCAGAGTTCAAGGTCCTGTTAGTCACTCCCTCTCAAGCCTTACCTATAAGGTTTATGCAACTGAGGATACTAAAGTGATCTTTCCAAAACTCTCTTAGGGTCAATTGAGTGTCTGAGGTCACTTCAAAGCACTTTTGAAACATTACTTTGGTGTACAGTTTTTTGAAATTTGAAATGACCTGCTGGTCCATGGGCTGGAGGAGAGGAGTGGCATTAGGAGGCAAAAACTTCACTTTTATGAAACTCAATTCCCCCGCAATTCGCTCTGGCAAGTCTGAAGGATGAGCAGGACCACTGTCTAATACCAGGAGGCACTTGAGGTCCAATTTATTTTCCAGGAGGTAATTTTTCAAAGTGGGGCCAAACACATGATAGAACCAATCATAGAAAATGTACCTAGTGACCCATGCCTTACTGTCTGCCCTCCACATCACACAAATTAGCCTTGACGACATTGTTTTTCCTGAACACACTGTGAATTTCAGTGTGATACACAAGTAGAGGCTTCACTTTGCAATCCCTACTAGCATTATTACACAACAAGAGAGAAAGCAGCTTTGTCTGCACGCTGGGCACTGGACAGGTTTCGTATCATTGACGAAAACAGAGGAAATCGATGTAAACAGACCAATATTCTGGTGAAAAAAGCCAACAAAAATGGAAATCGGCAATAACGAAGATCAATGAAAAGGGAGGGTCCACTGTATGTTCAAATGTACTGCTCAAACATGACCTTTATCAACATAGCATAAGAATTAGTATTAGTCTGCCCGAAGTGCCTAGCCCCAATAGTCGCTATCTTTGTAATTAAAATCTTATAACAAGTAAACCACACAATGTAAGCTTCACAAGGAAATAAATATTTTTGGTGGGAGACGGCCGACTTGTTGAAAAAAAAAAAAAAAAAAATTGTATTGTATTTGTATAATACGACATGACATCAGGGAATCCCTGGTGTTTGCTATGCTATTTGCTCTAGCTGGTTTTCAAATGAACTTGTGCCCCCACAGGGTACTAAGCGGTCCCAGTTTTTCTAATACTGTGCACACCGAGTGCTAAAACCTATTCTATAATGCCTAGGCCTATCAGGCTTATTGTGCCAAATTTGAGGAAGGAAAAATAAAACACTGATCTACATTTGGACAGTTAAGGGATTAATAGACATTTGATATATGGGATAAAATTCACCGGTTCAGATGATTCAGAAACAACAGTGTTTACTGTTTACAGAATTGTTCATTATTGTTACAATATGGTAAAAACCACCTCATCTCTATCCACCATTACTGTCATTACTAGCCACTAACTCTTAAGTTAGTTTCTGACATTCACGGTTTATTGTATAGGGGACCCCCGGTTAACGATATTTTTTCATTCCAGAAGTATGTTCAGGTGCCAGTACTGACCGAATTTGTTCCCATAAGGAATATTGTGAAGTAGATTAGTCTATTTCAGACCCCCAAACATACACGTACAAATGCACTTACATATATGCACTTACATAATTGGTCGCATTAGGAGGTGATCGTTAAGCGGGGGTCCACTGTATTTTTAATGTAGTATCTACAATATTTTAAAAAGTTATTAATTAATAGGTAGTATAAAAAGCTAAACCTCACATCACTGGTAAACCAAAATACCAGAGAAGATATACAACAAGGCAGACAGACAGACAGACTGCCTGACATGAAAGTGAACACAACACTAACAGCTCTTCTAAAACTTGAAAAAAAAAAAGACAGTGAAAGGGTTAAAGTACAGAAAAGTTAGTTCCAGCTCAAGTAAAAGTTAGCCTTAGACAGGGATCTATGATGTCACTATGGATGTTTAATTCTTTTAGGACTGAAGCCACCACTTGTGGTGAAACATTTCCTCATTGTCTTGAAAAGCACATGTTTGTCTTCATATGCATACTGCCAGTATGACCATACCTTTCCAGTCAATGTTTTTATAGATGGGGTTGTAAAAGAAATAAATACACTAGAATGCTGGAAATGTGAAGGTTTAAAATATAATGAATCTAGTACAAAGTGAGGGTTGTCACACATGCTCTTTGCTGATTTTTTGGGAGATTCAGAATTGAAGCTGCAGAGGACAATAAGAGGAGTTTAGGAAGTGTGTATAAAAAGGGAGCTAAATAAACATAGAAAAAGAGCAAGGTGATCCGAGTGAGAAGAAATGTAAGGAATGAAACACAATGTCAAAGTGGAAGGGATATATTTGCAGACGAAACTATGACTGATCAGATGAATCACAGAATAGATGAGGAAAAGATGCAGCTGGAATGTTGACAGTCTGCAGAAAGTAGGTTTATCAATGCATTTTAGTGGGTAATACATCAGATAATAATATTGCTAACAGTTCTGTATGACTAAGATAGGTATTGTCCTTGAATGTTGCAGCAAGGAAGTGGCTAGAAGTAGTTTAGATGCAATGTTTGATTTTTAATGTGAGAATATCATGCAGAGAGCAAAGAGTAAAAAAAATTAGAAAATGGTGTATGAGAGGTGTAATTTATTGAGCAGAAGAGAGGTTAATGAGATGGTTTGGTTATTTAGAAAGGTTAGAGTAAGATCAGTTGATCAAGAGGATGTATAAATCTGGGGAGAGAGGAATGAGGTATAGAATACATTCCAGGAAAGGTTGAGGGAGGGTGTTCAGGAAAATTTGGGAGCTCAGGGGATTGAATGTTCAGCAGGCATGTCTGAGCATATTAAATCAGTGACTAAAGACAAGTTTTTGGAATCTATGGTACAGTGGACCCCCGGTTAACGATATTTTTTCACTCCAGAAGTATGTTCAGGTGCCAGTACTGACCGAATGTGTTCCCATAAGGAATATTGTGAAGTAGATTAGTCCATTTCAGACCCCCAAACATACACGTACAAACGCACTTACATAAATACACTTACATAATTGGTCGCATTCGGAGGTGTTCGTTATGCGGGGGTCCACTGTACTTGAAAAGCCACACTGTGATGGCTATGCAGGCCTGTGAGCTGCAGGCAACAACAGTTTCACTGATCAGTTACCAAAAAGAAAAATACTCAAAGATGGTCATAGCATTTCACAAGCTACATACTGTGATTTATTCTTATATACTTGCCTATTTCTCCTTAAAGCTGCAAGTTTTCGTCTGTAGGCCGTAATTTTATCAGGTACTACTGCCATAAGATTAAAACGAATATCATGATAGGGCTCTCCACCTGTAGCTATACCAAGTCTCTCTGTTATGACACGACGAAATTTTTCTGTCCAGTCCTCTCCTCCTAACCATGGACCTAATGAAAGGAAAATTATTTGGTAAATATAATAATAATAATAATAATAATATAAATAAATATGTATACATTACATGCATATTTTTATCATTTCATGCATGTGTATATAAATACAGTAGGGCCCCACTTTTACGGCTGGTTAGGTTCCAGGCTACCGCCGTAAAGCGGAAACCGCGGTAAAGTGGAACACCCTTTTTTTCCACTTACAAATGCATACAAACACTAGATAACAAGTTTACACTAACATATATTAAGTTAGCAATAGAACCAGGCATCAAAAAACAATAAAAAAAAGTAAAATTACCCCAAATAGTGCACTCATTACTTCCCTTTAAAAATTTTTTATAGTCTTAATCTAGGGTGAGACAAGTAGTTTTTATTGTAAGAAATAAAATTTTGGGGTTTGTATGGTAGAAAACCCAGGCTACCAAACCGGGGCCCAAACCCCTCCCACACAAAAAAAATTTCTATGAAAATTAAAAGCACCCCAAAAGCGATAAAATGTATTTTACGGGTTCACTCTTTACTTACCTTAAAATATAGGGTAGTTTGAGTAGTTTTTTAATTGAAAAAAATCAAGTGTGGTATGTAGGGTTAGTCAGCCGGGCTACCATACCGGGCCCAAACCCCCCTACACAAATATTCTTTTACATTTAAGTTTCCAGAGCGAAAAAAATTTATATAAAAGTTCACTCATTATTTTACCTTAAAATTTTGTAGTCTAATGTGGGTCGGGAAAGAAAAGTAAATGAGAAAAAATAAATTAAAGGGAGGAGAAAAAGGGAATGAGTGCATAGAGATTTACAGGCCCCAGGTTATGTAAAAAAACCCGGGGCGAAAAAAAATTTTTTGTAAACAAAGTGAAACACGTCGGGTTTTGTGTAAAAAGGTTACATTGTGTCCAGGTTGTTCTACATTGTTTACGGAAAGAATAAATAAAAAAAGAACACTCCCCTTTCCCAGAAACACCCATTTTGGGAAGAAATGATCCCTCTGAGTAAAGGGCAAGGGGAAAAAAGTACCAAAATTTTTTTGGGGTTTATCTTAGGTTTCCAAACCCCATATATTGTTATGTATGAAAATCTATTTTTTTAAATTTATTTTTTATTTTTTTTTATTTATTATAAATTTGTGCACACTTTTACAGGGGGAAAAAAAAAATACAGATAAAAGAATAGCCAAAGCCACTTATACAAATGCATAGCATTACGGGCTGGTTTAAAAAATTAATTTAAAGTTTAAATTTAAAAAGCAATGATAAGTCAGTGTTAAAACATTAATTTTTTAAACAGATTACTATAAAGCACAATTGGTATTAAAAAGACAGGTAAATTTGAAGGTTTTCTGTTGGGTAGTTATTTAAAAAATAATAAAGTTAAAATTGGGGTTTTTTGGGTTTTTAAACTTTATGGGGAATAATTGTGAGAAACATTTAAGATATCCCAATTTAAAAGGGTTCGTTATTGTATTTTTTTTGGTTTTTTGGTTTGGAGAAAAGTGATCTTTAAAGTAGAGACTTTAAATTTTAAAAACATTAGTGTTTTTTTTTATATTTACAGGTAAGGGAATTCCAGATTTTAGGGCCTTTTTATTTTGCTTTTGATTTTTTTTGCATAGTGTGAGATGAACACGAGGAACATCAAAAGATGATCTGTCCCTTGTGTTATGGTCATGTGTTCTGTTGGGGTTGGCAAGGGGGATGTTTGAGGGGGGGGGAAATACGAGTTAAGTGTTCTATGTATGTAATGGGGTGCAATAATAAGTAGGGATGTTTTGTATGGGAGTGGGTTTAGTGTTTTTGAAAAATGGGGGAGTTGCTGCCTGTATTTTAAAAAAATTTTTGTTATCATTCTAACGGGCCCCCCCTTTTGTTGGGAAATTTAAAGGGGTCTGAGTTTGGTTAATGTTTTTTGACCCCCATGCACAAATTCCATAGGTGGTTTGGGGGGTAAATAAGGGGAGTGATATGGGCCCCCAGGGGGGTTGACTGGGGAACATGTCCCGGTATCTTCGATAGTATCCCTACAGCCCTTGGAAATTTTCTTAAAAATTTTTTTTTGAAATATGTGTTAAAAATTTGAGTCTATTATCAAGGTGGTTCCCTTAAGTTTTTTCCCCCCTCTTTTTTAGCTTTTTTATAGGTAAATCCGTTTATAAATTATTTTAAGAGGGCCCATCTGTACCCTCGTTACCAAATGAAGGAAGTAGGTTTTGTCAATTTTTAGTGAAAATTTTGTTAGTCCTCACCCGGGTAGATTTTTTTCTGAAATTCGGTATTTACATATTGGCTGTTTTGACTGGGTTCGGGTGAGAAAAGACGTTTGTAGTTTTCCATCTGCAAATAGGGGGGGTTTTGGGAGTAATTGCGAAGCTTTTGGAAAAGGTCATTTATGTATAGGAGAAAGGAAGAGGGCCAAGGACATTTTTCCCCTGGGGACACCAACGAAAATTTTTTTGCGCAAAAAGAGTTTCCCCCTTTCAACACATATTGGCTTCTTTTGCTGGGGTATGATTTGAGGTTTTTTGAGGGAGGGGCCCTCTTATACCCATAGGGGGAAAATTTTACTTTGGGAGCAAGTCGGGTCAACGGGTATAAAAAAGTTTTAAACTTTAAAGTCAATAAAAGACCCCCCGGGTGGGACTTTTTTTTTTCTCTATTGCAGGTTATATTTTTCTAGCATGTGAAATAATACCCATAAATTAGAATTTTTATTGGGCCCTGAACCCAAAAATTGGGGGGGTTGAGTAGTTCGGGGAGATAAGGTGGGGAGTAGATTCTTTTTATAAAATTTTTTTTTCAAAGATTTTTGAAAAGAGGGGAAAGTTGGAATTGGCCTATTTATTCAACTCTGTTTGGTCTCCTCCTTTGGGGGGATCGGGGTGCCCCTTGCTTTTTTGATATTTGTGGGGAAGGGTTGGGAGGATTAAAATTGGTTTTTTGTTAAAGAGTGTTGCAATGTTTGGAGATAGCACTTGTGCCCTTTTTTTAAATTTATAAAGGGTAAAAAGGAACTTAAATCCCTGCCTTTTTTTTTAGTGCATTGAAAAAAGGGGAAAGATTTTCGTATGGGTTGGGTCGGGGGCTAGGAACAGTTTTTTTTGGGGGAAATTTTCCCGGGTGGGGGAGTTTTTTTGGTGGGGTTTTTCTGGTTGGGATTTTATGGGCAAGGTTTTGCCCCTATAGGGGGAGAGAAATCATGGAGTCTTTTTTGCTGTTTTTTTGGTGGGGTTTGGGGGTTCCCTCTATTTTGCAAATTTTTAATTTCGTTTATTTCGTGATATCTTTTTTTTTCCCCCAGAATTTCAGATATTTGTTTTGGGGTTTTTTTTATATCACCCCCGTAAGTTGGGATAATCGTTCTCAAAAATAAAATTTTTTTCCCCTTTTATCAGGTGGTTAGGATTGACGAGTAACGTTTTGTTTGGTCTTGGTTATGGGGCCCCTTCTGTACTGTTTTTCAATTGGTTTTTTTTGTATTTATGGATTTGAGAAGGGCGGGGTGTTACCCAAAGGGGGACTTTTTCAGTCTCTTTGCTTTTCATTGTTTATTTTTTTTAGGGCAGTGTTGTTAGAGGTATTGGTTTTTTTTAGAAAAATTTTTAAATACATTCGTCAATTTTGTTTTGTTTTTCTAGCTCAGTGTGCCAATTTAATTTTGCAATGCTGTTGCGAAGTTTTTTAATGGCTGGGCCCCATTGTGAAGTTGAAGGTGCCCTTTTGTAGTGTCTTGGGGGTTTTTTTTTCCAAGGGGTTGTTAAGGGAAAATAGGGGGGTTTGGGCTGTGGTATTAACTGTAATTAAAGCCCGAATTTTAAAGGGGATATGGTGGGTTTGGGCCAAAATGTGGGGCCCAAATTTGGGGAAAAACTAGTCCTTAAAACTCCCTTTTAGGTTTTTTTACTGTTGGTAGTAAAATACAGTTATCAATTTTGTTTGTGAAAATTTAGTAACCCTGTGGGTCCTGGGGCTTGCAGGAGATTTTTTAAAATTTAAATCCCCCTGGGGTAGTAAGTGAACTTTGTTCATGCGTGGGATCAGTTATCTACTTCCTAGATTTTGACTAAATTGGCTAATGTTTGACGGGGGAACCTGTGAGTTTTTTTTCAATGTGAGAGGTTTTTTTTAGGTATTTTTGGGTTTTTAATTAGCTATTTTTAATTCCCCATGTTATCCCTTGTCCCAAATATTAGTGATACCTTCTAGTTGGTTTTGAGTAGTTTTAAAGGCCCTTTCCAACCCCCCTTTTGGTTTGGCCCACAGTTGTGTATGGCTGTTTTAACCCCAAAAGGAAAGGCATAGACATCTGTAAATATCAGGCTTTAGCCAGGTTTTAAATTAGTGTAATGATGGGCCAATTTTGGGTTTTAAGGAAAATTTTTTTAAAAATAATGCTATGAGGTCATGTTTAAAGCTTGCTTTAAAGATCGATATTGTATTAAAGATAGTTTTTGTTTTTGTTGGCACTGAGAAGTGCCTTTGATTGTTTGGGAGTGTTTGTAATTACATAAAATGTTTGATTCATTTTTAAATCATTTAAAAAAGAGGTTTTGGGATCAGGAACAACAATGCTTGTAATCATAAGATTTGTATGAATCCATAGTTTTTTGGGAAAAAAAATATAAACAAAGTAAATAGTCTTAAACTAAAAAAAAAGAAACCCGGGGAAATTTTTTAACAAATGTAAAATAATGAGCTAAGGGACTAATACAAAAAAAGTGATGATCATATAATAGTGCTTTTGGGAAAATTGGGTAGTAGGGAGTCTATAAAGGTAATTTTTTAAAGTTAAAATTTTTAGTTTAAAAATTTTAATAAAAAAGGGGGCTAATATGGTTGTGAAATTTAAAAGAGCTTAGGAAATTTTTTGGCAAGTTTTTGAGCTTATTTACTTTAGCACCTGGAATTTGGGACTTGTTTTTTTTAACAGTTGTGGTTTTAAAACTAGGGGAAATTTTTTTTAAAAGGCTAAAAAAAAGGAGGAAAAAAATAAAAGGGGGCT